CCCTTTCACTTTATAAACTCTAGACACCCCATGTTAGAATTCTACACTACACTCAACAATCAACTGAACAAACCCATAAAGAGAAAAATAACAAGTCCTTAAAGCAACACACTAACATGACATAATATATACATTCATTCTTAATGTTAATGTTTTTGCTTTTAGATTATGGTGTAAAAAAATTACTTATTAATTCTTACAGCATCTTGGGCTTACTTGGCATGCTTGACAATTGTTATGTTTATTTAAATATTTATGTTGTCTATGATGAATTAAGACTAATTTGCAATTAGCTCCAGATATTTCTACAGATCTAATAATGAATAGTCTGCTCATAAAAATCATGCTAGACTTGATAGTATTTTAGCAGCAAAACAAATCAAATGAGAAAACCAAATAATATCTGAAGACAAATAAAAGCTTACTGTGTACATAAAACGGTAGTCATTTCTAAGCAAAAAAACCCCCCCAAAAAACAAGCAAACAAAAAACAGTTAAAAGAACACGAGAAGTTAAAATTATTGACAAAAGTAACAGAGCCAAAACAGTTGGGGGGAAGGGGTGTCCACACAGATTGGTGAAACATGGTTATATGGCATGGCAGGGATCAAAATACTGCTCAATATTTGCCACAGTGGATCTCCAAATGGAATATATAGTGAATCTCTCTTCATCCCGAATCTTGCTTTTAAGAGTAAGCCTCTGGGTAGTCTCCATGAGACATTCGTGCCTGAACATATAGGTGGGATTGGTAAACAAGATTCCCACTAGACATTTTTATTCCCAGCCCCCCAAAACCTGTTTCAGCACTACATTATATCCTCAAACTGGTACTTACACACTACTGTGAAGGTCTTGGTTATTTGGGTGCAGCATATAGACAGGCACTCTCCTATGTGAGACACACGCCCAAGAGGCATGGTCACCAGTCTGATGTTTTTGGCTACTGGGGTTTAAGGATGAGAGGGACTGGGTACTATACAAGCACATATTGAAGGTTCAAAGGAAACTCAGTGGAAGCTTAAAATTGCTACTACTGATGTCTAATAGAAAATGGTAGATTCTAGATCCTAGTTAATTCGCCCTGCAAAGGTTAACAAACTATCACAAAATATTAGTATTAGTAGAAAAAAACTTAATATGTCCTGTTAACGTGTAGTGCTGTGTAAAAAATCCACACCTGACTGTATTATATTTCAGAAGCTCCTTACGGTAGAATCCTATTCCCGTGTCCAATGACTGTAAAGATTTTCAAAAAGAAAAGAAAACCAGTGTGTTCACGCTCTCTGTAATGTAGCTCTAACATTTCAAAAGGACCATGTCAAACTGTCAGTTTGTTTATTCAAAAGGTGGTATATTTAACAAAAAAAATGAAAAATAAAAAAAGCCAAAAAATGAATAACGCAAAAAAGAGTTAGATTTCACCTAAATAAGTGATGCAGTGTCCAGGACTGCATGCAAGTGTTATTAAGATGGGGAGAGTCTAGCAGTCCCAAGACTTCCAAAAACTTTCAGAGTCATCTAAGTGTGGCAATATGGCGCTTAGACACTAAGCACAGCTTGTTTAAGCCATTTGGGTGAACAATGAATTGCTAGAGGCAGACTTTAGGGTGTTTGCGCACATTGGGCAGGATAATTTTTTTTCAAAATCGATGGAGGTCCACACAGCACTGTAGGAAATGCCTGAATAGAGCGGCTACGCGTTTCAAAACATATGTCATAACATCATAATCTGCCATTTATGCACTTAAAAAGTAAATTAGAACAAGACCAGAGGCATGCTATTTACACAAATGTGAACACATATTTTCCTGCAATTTGAATATATTTTGTGAAATGTGTTGCCATGGGTCTCTTTGATACATTTTCACGAACCATACATGAGCTGGAAAAGAGGAAAACTAGGATGCATGGGAGGAACAGGGACAAATGGGCCAAAATATGAACTGCAGTTCTAAAGATTTTAACCCCTTAAGGACGCATGACGGTTCAGGACCGTCCTCGGCATTTTTGCGTTGCCGACCGAGGACGGTCCTGAACCGTCCTAACGGAAAACGGGCGGCGGGAGCGATCCCAGGCAGATAGTAACAGCCAATTACGGCGTGTGAGCGATCCGCGATCGCTCACAATTGGCTGGTGTCAAAGTGGGTGTTACAAACACTCACTTTGACACTGATCTCTGCCTCTCTCCTCTCTGTAGCGTTTTGTGAGAGGAGAGAGACAGAGATCCTGATATATTGTTGCAGCAGCTGTTCCAGGGAGTTGTAAAAAGTATCTGCAGTGAATAAAAATCCCATTTTAACCCCTTCCCTGCCAGATCTGTTACAGACAGTGCATTTTTACTGTCTGTATTTTTTTTTTTGCCCTTAAGGGTTAACTTTATTTTAAAAAAATCTGTGTCTTAGACTGTCTTAGACTGTCTTAGTCTGTCGTAGTCTGTTTTAGTCTGTAGTCTGTTTTAGTCTGTTTTAGTCTGTCAGTAGTCTGTCATAGTCTGTCTGTCGTAGTCTGTCATAGTGTCGTAGTCAGTCAGTTTCCTTCCCCCAAATCTCCATTAGATTCTTCTAACAGGAGTTAGTTTAGGGATTACTGTTTTAGTCTGTTTTAGTCTGTTTTAGTGTTTTAAAAAAAAAATAAAAAAAATAAAAATATTGTGTTTAGTATTTTGTTAGTTTAGTCTGTTGGTGTGAAACATGCAGCGCATGTACAGCTTGGAGGAGGCATATGCCTTCTTGGCGTCAGACTCTGACGCCACTGACACTGCGTCCGATTTTGACCCAGGTCAGTTTAGCGGCACGTCTAGTGACATGTCATCTGTGAGTGAGCCAGCTGCTAAAAGAAGCTGTGCTTCCCCTGCTACGCTGAATGTGGAGGAGGACTGGGTACCTCCACAGTTAGCTGAGCCCAACATCCCCCCTTTTAGTGCCAACGCAGGCATTAATGTGAATGTGGTTGACTTCTCCCCTATACAATATATGGAGTTATTTTTAGGGGATACCATCTGGGAGGAGATTGCTTCCCAGACTAATTTATACGCTAGCCAATTTATTGAGACCAATCCAGGTAGCTATACAGTCAGGGAGCATGCTTGGCATCCCACAGATGTCCCTGAACTTAAAACATTCTGGGCTCTTACCATGCTCATGGGGATAATAAAAAAGCCATCAATCCGGTCTTACTGGAGCACCAACCCAATTTGTTCGACTCCTATATTCTCCCAAACAATGCCTAGACCAAGATATGAGCTGCTGCTCAGATACTTACATTTTAACGACAATACGCTCTGTCACCCCAGATATCACCCCCAATATGATAGGCTTCATAAAATACGCCCACTGGTAGACCATCTTCAGAACAGATTTTCTGAAGTTTATACTCCCCAACAAACTTTATCCATCGATGAATCCCTTATGAAATACAAAGGGAGATTAGGGTTCAAACAATATATCCCCTCAAAGCGGTCTAGGTATGGCATTAAAGTGTACAAACTTTGCGAGAGCGAAAGTGGCTACACATTTGCCTTCCGTGTATACGAGGGGAAAGATGCTCAACTGAACCCTCCTGGCTGTCCTGACTCTCTGGGGACAACTGGGAAACTTGTTTGGGACCTACTGAACCCTTTGTTCAATAAGGGTTACCACCTTTATGTGGACAATTTTTACAGCAGTGTCCACTTGTTTAAAATTCTTTATAGTTTACAGACACTGGCCTGCGGCACTGTAAGAAGAAATGCCAAGGATTTTCCCAGACCTCTCATAGAGGCCAAATTAAAAAAAGGGGAATGCAAAGCTCTGCGCAAGGCTGAACTGCTTGCGCTAAAATTTAAGGACAGGAAGGATGTTCACATGATAATAACCATCCATAACGAGGGCATGTCAGACGTCACTGTCCGAGGCAGGGTACAGACAAAACCGGTGTGCATCAGGGCTTATAACAGGCACATGGGGGGTGTTGATTTGGCTGATCAGCTGATGCAGCCTTATCTTATCTTAAGAAAGACAAAAGCCTGGTATAAAAAGGTGGCTATCTACCTGTTGCAAGTAGCAACACATAATTCATTTTTACTTTTTAAAAAAATGAATCCAGGAAGAACCACCTATCTCCAATTTCAGCTCAAGCTGATTTCCACAATAATTTATGGAGATGGTCAAGTTCCAACGACAGTGCAAGAGTCGTCTAGACATTTTATTTTTAAGATACCGCCAACACCAAAAAAAAGAAACCCCCAGAAACGTTGCCGGGTCTGTTATAAAAAAGGGAAAAGGACAGACACCCCTTTTCACTGTCCCGATTGCCCTACAAAACCTGGACTGTGTATTGGAGCATGTTTTAAGGTCTACCACACAGAAAATACATTTTTATAATACTTGTTCCTGATTTATTTTTTTTGTTTATTTTGAAAGCAGCAAATTTCTGTTAGTCAGTATCCTTCCCCAAATCTCCAGTTAGATTCTTTTTGCAGGAGTTAGTTTACAGATTGCTGCTAACAGAAGTTTTAGTCTCATTTAGTCTGTTTTTATCAGTTTTAGTCTGTTTTTAGTATAAAATAAAAAAAAAATTGTGTGTTAGTAACTCTGTGTTAGCCAGACTCTGACGCCACTGACACTGCGTCCGATTTTGACCCAGGTCAGTTTTCTGACATGTCATCTGTGTGTGAGCTGGTTCAAAAAGAAGCTGTGCTTTCTCTGCTATGCCGAATGTGGAGGAGGAACAGGTTTCTCCACAGTTAGCTGAGCCCCAAATCACCCCTTTTAGTGCCAACACAGGCATTAATGTCAATGTGGATGACTTCTCCCCTATGCAATATATGGAGCTATTTTTAGGGGATACCATGTGGGAGGAGATTGCTCCCCAGACTAATTTATATGCTACCCAATTTATTGATACCAATCCAGATAGTTATGCAGTCAGGGAGGAGTGTGCTTGGCATCCCACAGATGTCGCTGAACTTAAAAAATTCTGGGCTCTTACAATTCTCATGGGGATTATAAAGAAGCCTAGAACAAGATTTGAGCTGCTGCTGAGATACTTACATTTCAATGACAATACCCTCTGTCACCGCAGAGATCACACCCAATATGATAGGCTTCATAAAATACACCCACTGGTAGACCATCTTCAGCACAAATTTACTGAAGTTTATACTCCTCAAAAAAATGTATCTATTGATGAATCGTTAATGAATTATAAAGGGAGATTAGGATTCAAACAATACATCCTCTCAAAGCGCTTTAGGTATGGCGTAAAATTCTACAAACTGTGCGAGAGCGAAAGTGGCTATACATTTGCCTTTCGTATATATGAGGGGAAAGATGGTCAACTGGACCCTCCTGGCTGTACTGACTCTCTGGGGACAAGCGGGAAACTTGTTTTTGACTTACTGATCCCCTTGTTCAATAAGGGTTACCACCTTTATGTGGACAATTTTTATAGCATTGTCCGTTTGTTTCAAACTCTTTAGGGTTTCTAGATACTGGCCTGTGGCAGTGTGAGAAGATATGCCAAGGATTTCCCCAGACCTTTTATAGAGGCCAAATAAAAAAAAAAAGTGAATGTAAAGGTCTGCACAAAGCTAAAGTGCTTGCAATAAAATTTAAGGACAGGAAGGATGTTCACATGCTAACAACCATCCATAACGAGGGCATGTCAGACGTCACTGTCCGAGGCAGGGTACAGACAAAACCGGTGTGCATCAGGGCTTATAACAGGCACATGGGGGGTGTTGATTTGGCTGATTAGCTGATGCAGCCATATCTTATCTTAAGAAAGACAAAAGCCTGGTATAAAAAGGTGGCTATCTACCTGATGCAAGTAGCAACACATAATTAATTTTTACTCTTTAAAAAAAATGAATTCAGAAAGAACCACCTTTCTCCAATTTTAGTTCAAGCTGATTTCCACAATAATTTATGGAGATGGTCAAGTTCCAACAACGGTGCCAAAGGAGTCCAGACATTTTATTTTTAAGATACCGCCAACTGCAAAAAAAAAACAAATCCCCTGAAATGTTGCTGGGTCTGTTATAAAAAAGGAAAAGGACAGACACCCCTTTGCACTGTTTTTTTTTCTTTTGAAAGCAGCAAATTTTAGTTAGTCAGTTTCCTTCCCCCCAAATCTCCAATTAGATTCTTTTTGCAGGAGTTAGTTTAGAGAATGCTGCTAAAGGTGCATTTGATACCTGCACATTTGGTTAAAAAAGTTTTATGGTAGTAACATATAACTGGCTGGCCAAAACCAGATGACGTGTGCATAAAAAGCAGAATTAAAAAATTACCACCATGCACGTTCTCTGAAATTTGTTTAGCACAATGGTTGGGGGAAGGATGTGAAAACACCTCATATACAATACTCTGGAATGTCTACTTTATAAAAATATAAACTTTCATGATGTTAACATTAACGGGGGGATGCAAAAATATGCCAAACTGAAGATAGGCCAAGCATACCTATATATCAAGTTGAAAAACTGATATGTACAAGTCTTGAATGTGGCCTTTTAGCCCCCAAACAACCCAGCAAACCTATGCATGGGTGATGTCACTGTACTCAGGAGATGTTGCTGAACACATATTGGGGTGTTGTTTGGCAGTGATACATAACAGGATCTGTTAATTCATGCCTAAAGTACAATGTATGTGTAAAAAAACATGAAGAAAATTACTACCCAAAAGTTTGCCAAAGGCTGGTGGTAGAATTATTGCATGAAAAGTATTAAACTACCACCATTTAAAATACCCTGAGTTGTCTACTTTTCAAAAATATATGGTTTGATGGGGGTAAAATACATTGGCCCAAATAGGACAGGGGCGCTGGTTTACTACATGTCAAAATTCCAAGTTGAAAAATGGATATGCGCACCTGCCAAATGTGGCCTTTTAGCCCCCAAACAATCCGACAAGCCTATGCATGGGTGGTATCACTGTACTCAGGAGATGTTGCTGAACACATATTGGCGTGTTGTTTGGCAGTGACACATAACACGATTTGTTAATTCATGCCTAAAGTACAATGTGTGTGAAAAAAAACACACAAAAAATGACTACCTAAATGTTTGACAAAGTCTGGTGGTAGAATTAGTGCATGGAAAGTGTTAAAAAACCACCATTTTAAATACCCTAGGTGTCTACTTTCCAAAAATATATGGTTTGGTGGGGTAAAATACATTGGCCGGCCTTACAAATGTCCCAAATAGGACATGTGCGCAGGTTGACTACATGTCAAAATTCCAAGTTGAAAAATGGATATGCGCACCTGCCAAATGTGGCCTTTTAGCCCCCAAACAATCCGACAAGCCTATGCATGGGTGGTATCACTGTACTCAGGAGATGTTGCTGAACACATATTGGCGTGTTGTTTGGCAGTGACACATAACACGATTTGTTAATTCATGCCTAAAGTACAATGTGTGTGAAAAAAAACACACAAAAAATGACTACCTAAATGTTTGACAATGTCTGGTGGTAGAATTAGTGCATGGAAAGTGTTAAAAAACCACCATTTGAAATACCCTAGGGTGTCTACTTTCCAAAAATATATGGTTTGGTGGGGGTAAAATACATTGGCCGGCCTTACAAATGTCCCAAATAGGACATGTGCGCAGGTTGACTACATGTCAAAATTCCAAGTTGAAAAATGGATATGCGCACCTGCCAAATGTGGCCTTTTAGCCCCCAAACAATCCGACAAGCCTATGCATGGGTGGTATCACTGTACTCAGGAGATGTTGCTGAACACATATTGGCATGTTGTTTGGCAGTGACACATAACACGATTTGTTAATTCATGCCTAAAGTACAATGTGTGTGAAAAAAACACACAAAAAATGACTACCTAAATGTTTGACAAAGTCTGGTGGTAGAATTAGTGCATGGAAAGTGTTAAAAAACCACCATTTGAAATACCCTAGGGTGTCTACTTTCCAAAAATATATGGTTTGGTGGGGGTACATTGGCCGGCCTTACAAATGTCCCAAATAGGACATGTGCGCAGGTTGACTACATGTCAAAATTCCAAGTTGAAAAATGGATATGCGCACCTGCCAAATGTGGCCTTTTAGCCCCCAAACAATCCGACAAGCCTATGCATGGGTGGTATCACTGTATTCAGGAGATGTTACTGAACACATATTGGCGTGTTGTTTGGCAGTGACACATAACACAATTTGTTAATTCATGCCTAAAGTACAATGTGTGTGAAAAAAACACACAAAAAATGACTACCTAAATGTTTGACAATGTCTGGTGGTAGAATTAGTGCATGGAAAGTGTTAAAAAACCACCATTTGAAATACCCTAGGGTGTCTACTTTCCAAAAATATATGGTTTGGTGGGGGTAAAATACATTGGCCGGCCTTACAAATGTCCCAAATAGGACATGTGCGCAGGTTGACTACATGTCAAAATTCCAAGTTGAAAAATGGATATGCGCACCTGCCAAATGTGGCCTTTTAGCCCCCAAACAATCCGACAAGCCTATGCATGAGTGGTATCACTGTACTCGGGAGATATTGCTGAACATATATTAGTGTGTTTTTTGGCAGCAAGACATAACAGGATCTGTAAGTTTATACCTGAATTGCAATGTATGTGAAAAAAAACAAAAAAAACAACTATCTATGCAAAGTTTGGCAAAGACTTGTGGTAAAATGGCTCCATAGAAAGTGTCAAAATATCCTTAGATGAATACCCTGGGTTGTCTACTTTAAAAAAAATATATACATGTGGAGTGTTTTCCAGAGATTTATGACAGATAATAGTGTTACAATGTCACTATTGATACATTTAAAAAAATTTGTTTTGAAACCGCCATATCCTACTTGTACCTATAGCCCTATAACTTGCAAAAAAAAGCAAAAAAGCATGTAAACACTGGGTATTTTTAAACTCAGGACAAAATTTTGAATCTATTTAGCTGTTTTTTTCATTCGCTTTTGTAGATGAGTAAAAGATTTTTCAAGTAAAAGTCAAAAAACATGTATTTTTTTCAATTTTTCATCATATTTTTTTATTTTTTTAAAATTAAAATACATGAGATTATATAAATAATGGTATGTAAAGAAAGCCCCTTTTGTCCTGAAAAAAACAATATATAATTTGTATGGGAACAGTAAATGAGAGAGCGGAAAATTACAGCTAAACACAAACACCAGAAAAGTGTAAAAATATTCCTGGTTGCAAATGTACAACATCGCAAAAACAGTCCAGTCCTTAAGGGGTTAAGTACTTTATTGTTTACAAATAATTGGAGTGGCACCAGAACAGTTTCTCTCATAAACATAGAATATTTGGTAACATGAGCTGGACATATACACTCTCCCTGCTGTATACCATCGTTTAAGCTTTCTGTGTACCAGTTGTGTGCCATTTCAGCTGCAGTGCTATTGGCGCGGAGAGGTAGATGAAAAAGTGGATCACGCCCATGCATTATGATTCTCACATCGAGAATCCCTAAATAGTTGTAGAAGATACAAAATGAAATACAATCGATGTCAGAACCAAATATAAAGATCTGTAAACGAAAAAGCCTCCACTCTAAAGGCACACTCCGATAGCCTATGAAACCAAATATGGAAAAAAGGGGAATGGGTGAATACCCACCTAATGAGGGCGCTAGACGCTAGAGAAACAGTGCTCTGGAGGGAGCTAAACACCAGAGAAACAATCCTCTGAGAGAGATGCAATATGATAGAAATATGTTAAACTTTATTCTGCAACAATAGGATATAGTTTAAAATTATATATATATAAACACAATATCAACAATAATGCAAAAGCAGTACTATTATAAGACCTGGGAACAGGTGCCCGGCACCAACCACTCGGCTAACAAGTAAATAGAAAACATACACAGCCCTTGGCCGCGACTTCCAGGGCTGGAAAATACTTGCAGCTTGATCTGTGATGGTGATAGTAGGGTCTCTGGACTGCTGAATAGATGGCTCTACATGTTTCGTTCTGCGTTATTCGGGACTTCCTCAGGAGATGTGGATGATCTGCTTGTTCTTCCGGCGTCTCTTCTTTTATCTTCTGAACTTCGCGCCCAATCTAACTCCGACGCATGCGCACATGGACACCTACTTCCATCAAGATTGCTGCCGGAATGCCCACCTATGCGTCCTGCACCAATAACTATTGGGAAATCCGGCTTGATTGATGCGCAAAAAAACTTTATTAGCATCCGGACATAGACACATTGTAACACCAGGGCTACA